GGATAACCGAGAAAAGGTTGAATAAGCGCCTTTCAAGTTGACACACAGCTAAACAGCAGGATAACAGCTGTATAGAAGCGTTAATGGATACGCAATAAGAGCTTGTCCCAACTGTCCCAACAACCATAATTAGCTGACTAAGTTCGCCAGATTTGCTTGTATAGAGGTTGAGTAAAGGTTTCCTCATATCGTATAACGTTTGAATACAGCTTGAGGCTGTATAAATGAAATGAGTAAAGCGTTTACATTGTGAAAAATGTTAGTTGGGAAGTCAACTTTCAACTTGTAGCTGCAAAACAAACCCAATAAAGTGAATATATTACTCATTTGATGGCTTCTACACAACCAACCACTCTGGCTGAGTAACATAAACATCAAAAGTGCCTTTTCAACAACTAAACATCGTGTACTCAGTTAATAAACTGTGTTGGCGCTACTTTGGAAGCATTTTTACAATCAACTAAGTTTATTTTTAGACGTGTGCGGTTGCACAGCTTTTACTCTGCTCTTTTACAAAGCTGAATTAACTAGTCGAGATAAGTGATTCATGTGCACTATTATAAAGCCCCTACTCAGCGATCTTGTTGAATAAGGGCATGTAGATTTGTTTACATCAGTTCAAAGTGTTGGCGTAGCTAAGTTAGTAGTGTCAAGGATTGGCAATGCGGTCGTCTCGAGTTCGATTCCAGGTTTCCGATACAGAATAAATAAATTTGGAGGTGTTCTTATAACTAATTTCGATTAATTTGATTCGCAGTTAAATGAACTTAATAAAATTCTCCAACAGAAAAAGCGTTAAACAATATTTAACCCGGCTGCCAGATAAAGCTGTGTAGTTATTATTGGATAACCAGGAAAAGGTTGAATAAGCACCTTTCAAGTTCACACACAACTAAACAGCAGAATTACAGATGTATAGAAGCGTAAATGGATATGCAATAAGAGCTTGTTCCAACCGTTCCAACAGCCATAAGTAACTGACTACGTTCGCCAGATTTGCTTGTATAGAGATTGAGTAAAGGTTTCATCATATCGTATAACATTTGAATACAGCTTGAGGCTGTATAAATGAAATGAGTAAAGCGTTTATATTGCGAAAATTGTTAGTTGGGCACTTCTTTGCTAGCGAACGTAAAAGATAAAGAATTATTGCGTTGCCAGATGTATTACCTCAAGCAGTGAATGTAAGTTTATTAAAACATGCAAATACGAACTTTAAACCAATAACTTAGATGAGTGGAGATTGAACTTAAACGTTCCAATTACAAAGGTATAAAAGATTGAATTAAACACAAACAGGAGAGATGACAACATTGCAATGCAACAATGCAATGTAGCCTGTTATTGGCTTTCCCGCTCAGGGGTGTAAACAAAATGTCATACAGCTTGGTCTGGCAGTGTGAATGTTTTGTCTACGACATTCTTATACGCTTGAATGTGTGACGTCACATTTGATGTTGTATTGAAAAGTAAAAGAATAAAAGAGATGGTAGATTTTGCTCACCAGGTGATATGTATGATTCATTGACTGTTTTGGCACGGCGACGCACACTACCAACGAATATTACCAATACTTTTAGAAAGTGATGATTTAAGAATACAAGAAGAAAAAGCAAAAGCTAATTGAATGATGGTTAGTTGCCTCTTAAGCCTGGAGAAAATTTCTAAACTTTTAGTTTTTACAATTTTTTTAATCTAAGACGTGAAAAATCGGGCTAAGTAATATAAATGATCAACTTCTAGAACTAGATTTGACTCCACTACCTTGTTTGCCTATCCTTGACAGATACGCGTATTTCGTCTACAATGTTCAGACTTCTTCAGTGTCTTGTACTAATACTTGACTACTAGTATTAGTAGAAGACACTGAATAAGTTTATTTGGTTCTACATCAACAGACTGGGTTTAGTCCTAATGATGGATTAAGCAAAACTAGGAAATACAATATAGACAAGAAGTAACAAGCTGCAAAGGCCGTGAAGTCCAACTTAATTCCTAATTCTTAAAAATATATCACGGAATCTCTGACGCAGCGTCTCGCGTGCCAAGTGAAAATCAAATAAGGAAGCAACACGATTGAAAACCCTTTGTAGCCCATTGATACCACCATACGAACTATAGTTTGTACGACGAAAAGGTATCCTCAGCATTGCGTTGTTACAGAGTGCTCGTGGTTGAACGTTAACGTCGATTTGTAAGGACAATCGATTCTGGCCTGTAGAATGTCTGCCACAAACAGGGCCCTTGTCGTATCTCTTCGACTCCACAAAGGATCCAGGTGAATTAACTGGCACCGACTTTCGTAGCTTGGAAGGCGATGAGGATCCCTCCAAGGCAATCGTCGAAGGGCAAACCAGAGGAATCGTCGTTGAATAGATTCTTCTCTTTGTACACTGGTAATTGGGATTCAATACAGGGCAGCAGTATTCTACCACCGACCGGGCGAGGGAGCAGTAAAGGGACTTCAAACAGTAGATGTCCGTGAAACTTTTAGCTATCCTGAAAATGAAGCCGACTGGTCTGCACATTGTGAACGAAATACGCGTATCTGTCAAGGATAAGCAAATAAGGTAGTGGAATTAAGTGGAAATTACTAATCCTGTTCTCCCTCTCTCTTTATACAGGTATTCCACTAAGTCGCTCACATTCATCAGGATAGATTTACCTATTTATTCAAGATTTTGCACTCTTCTATTTCGAAACCTGTCCACGTAAAATGTTGCATTGACAAATAAAAAATAATACTTTAGTAGAGCTATTGTTGTAAATAACACCCACCATTTATGTGAAAAATCAAAGTATTTAAAATTCAGTTATGAAGTAATTATCTTTCATTTAAATGATAAATTGATCATTTAATTTGCAACATTTATTTAAAGTATATGTCTTTAAATTTGTTAAATGAATGTTAAACTTTCTTTTTTGATAAACTTAAGTTCGTAAGTCTGAGTTTAGACTAACGACGTCAAAATCTCCAACGGCGACATAAGAAATTCAAGTGCTACCGACGAAAACGTCACATCAGTTTTCAGTCGCATGCACAATAAGTAAAAACGTTTGTGGCACCTGAGTTATTGTTTTACGAAAAAAGAGCTTATTTTTTAACGGTTAAAAAATCTTCAGAAACCTGGAAAATTCAGAGACACCCTGTGTTAGCTAATTTAATTAATTAAATTGATTTCTCCGATACATTTACCTGAAAAACCATCTTGTAAAGGTTTTATAACTACATATTGATTCAGAAAAATAGTTCGCCTAACCATTATACTACCGTAACATTTCGCGTATGCAATATGTACGGAGAATATAGGAAAACCATGCATACATTTGATGTAGGGTAGAGAACTACTTCGGCCTATTTAAGTGCCCATTTTGTGCCTATCAAGCAGAAAACATCAAATAAATCCATGATTTCGGCGTTAACAGGTAAATTATGCGTTTAGTATGATACTTTAGTTCAAATGCTACCGAAAGAAGTCAATAAGAACAAGTGATATGAATGTTTGCACCTAATATTCTCAAATACAAATGAAGCGGTCCGACCGAACCAATCTTTTTCTTCATCCGATAGGCCGAAGTGAATTCATTGGCGTTTCAATGCGTGAGGTCGAGTTAAGAAGCAGTGTTAGACTTTTAACAATATCTTAACATTTTGTTTCTCTCTCAAATCTTACGGCATGTACGACGGAAAGGTTAATAAATTTGGAAGTAATCAGTAATAATAACATTCCGTTTAGTGCTGAACTACGCTAGATTAAGAAAGACTTAGTGCGGGTTGTGCCTAATAGGCCGGGAAATGAGGCAGTTACCCTATTTACCATTTTTTTTTTGAATAGGACATATCATAATTACAAACCTTCCCCTATATATTTGCCACCTGTGGTATTATTATTGGGAAAAACAAAAAAACCCTTCGTTTGTGCAACCATTTTAATTACACATAATTGCATAATTTTACGCCAATTTACTGTTTTCGTGACACCATCCATTTACATCCGGCTTTTGCCTTCATTTTATGGGCAACCATCTTCCAAAACCATAAATGCCATGTGATTTGTCATGAACGCAACAACCACCTTCGTCGGTTGCATTATTCCAGCTTATCCATCCGCTACTACTTGCTTCCCCCTTGGCAGCTCGATGCTTTCTTCAAGCAACGACGGGCAGGCGTCTTTCGATCGAAGTAAGCGAACATAATTTTCCGCTGTTGTTTCGGTTTTCTTTTTATTGTAACATACACCTTCAGCGCTGCATAAATTCCCTCAGTATGTGCATTTTTTCTTCTGTGCTTGTCCGTTATATTTTGGTATCGTCTGCAAACTACACGCGTAATAAACCATCATTCAAGGCCGTTTTGTGATTTTTTTTCGGAAAATATTTTTGTATCAGACTGAACGGCTGGTTGGAGGTTGGAATCACCAGCACGGCGAAACAGCACTACGATGTCGGTCGACTAAATGGTCATTCACTTTGGGGGCGAAAATAGCGAAAGATTCAAAGCCCTCTCCGGTCGTAAAGTTGTGAGCCAATCTGGGAATATATTGGGTGTGAAGTATTTTGATGAGGCATGCAATGAAAATTTATGTAGGTGGGTAGTAAATTAGCTGGTTGAGATATGGATACATGCAATTTCGATTAGAATATGTGCATTTCAAGTGACCAATTAGTTCTGCAGATTATGTATCTACTGATTTTGGATGACACACCGTGCATAATGAGGAACAGTTAATTGATAATGAAACAAAGTTGGTTGGACTGTGTGCATGGGAGCACAAGCTATCTCCTCTATTATGCGAGTCACGTGACTCTCTCTCTCACCGGTTTCAGAGAGTCATGTGACTCGGAGAATAGAATAAATCGTGACGTTATAAAAGCAACAGGTGGAGGCGCCATCCACGGATTATCTTATAGAATTATGGATGCCAGAAAATTTTCCTAACTTGATTAGCCCGTTTTTTTGGGTATATATGCGACCTGAATATCCTCCTTAGAACGAGTCGTTTCTTGGTACTGTAAGATTGAAGTAGTTCGCCTCTGTAGCGATTTTCTTCGTCTTGCATTGAAACATCAGTGGTGAATTTGTTCTTTTTTTGCAAAGCATCAAAACACAAATCTAGTCAACAATGGCCTCGTACGGATCGTGGATGGCGCAATCGGTCGCCGGAAACCTAACTGTGGTGGACAAGGTTCCCGCGGATATGCTGCACATGGTGGACGCCCATTGGTACCAGTTCCCGCCGATGAACCCACTGTGGCACTCGTTGCTGGGATTTGCCATCGCCATCCTCGCCTTAATATCCGTGGTCGGCAACGGAATGGTCATGTACATCTTCACCAACACCAGGACGCTCCGGACCCCATCCAACCTGCTAGTGGTCAATCTAGCCTTCTCTGACTTCCTGATGATGTTTACTATGGGACCGCCGATGGTGATCAATTGCTACAACGAGACCTGGGTCTTCGGGCCACTCGCTTGCCAGGTCTACGGTATGTTTGGATCACTGTTCGGCTGTGTCTCGATCTGGACCATGACTCTGATCGCGTTCGACCGTTACAATGTCATCGTCAAGGGCCTCTCTGCTAAGCCTCTGACCAACAACGGTGCTCTGACTCGCATCCTTGGTGTGTGGGTAGCTTGTCTTGCCTGGACCTTGGCCCCATTAGTCGGCTGGAACCGATACGTTCCAGAGGGTAACATGAGCGCTTGTGGAACTGACTATCTCACCGATACCTGGAGCAGCCGGTCGTACATCTTGGTGTACTCGTTCTTCGTCTACTTCGCCCCGTTACTGATGATCATCTACTCGTACATCTTTATCATCAAGGCCGTGTCTGCCCATGAAAAGAACATGCGCGAACAGGCCAAGAAGATGAACGTTGCCTCGTTGCGATCGTCCGAAGCCCAGAACACCAGCACCGAAATGAAACTGGCCAAGGTCGCTTTGGTCACTATCTCACTGTGGTTCATGGCATGGACTCCGTATCTGATCATCAACTACATGGGTATCTTCAAGGCCTCGCCTATCAGCCCTCTGGCCACTATCTGGGGATCGCTGTTTGCCAAAGCCAATGCCGTGTACAACCCGATCGTGTACGGTATCAGCCATCCGAAGTATCGAGCTGCGCTGTACAAGGAGTTCCCAACGCTGTCCTGCACGGATGCCGCCGATGATTCCCAGTCGATGGCCTCCGAGGGTACCGCCGTTGTTATGAGTGAAAAGCCTGCCGCCTAACGCTTGGTTGACTAATTGTTCCATGACGGTGATTTTGTAAATAGAATGATAATTATTACATTTAGAAATATACTTATGATGCAAATTTTGAAATCGCTTGATATTTTTTTCTAATTCCTAATTTTTATTTTTCATTATTACCACATAATATATGTTGGTTATAATTCCAATGTACGACTGCAGTCATCAAGAAAGCTCCATTTAAAACATAATTTTCCATTCCACCACCCGCTCGGGGATGGTGGTGGAGGTGTAAATACCTCTCCATCAGAGCTATGAGCATTTCATCCGTTTTCATGGAGGTGTTGTTGCGTTTTTGCCAATCGTGTGTGCACTCTCTGCTGTCCGCTATCTTGGCGAGCGTTAATGATTAGTACGCGCTGTACCTTAGTGGTATGTTTAGTTGTTTCGCTGGTATGTTGATTTGATCTTGTAGTAAAAGTAGTAAGGCTTTCTTTCTCCTGCTGCCAAGGCGTTTATCGCGTAATAGGCACCACGATGTGCAACCGCGGGAAAGAGAGATATCCACACGAGGATTCGATGGACCATGGTGGATAATATGCAACACGTTTTCACTTTTCGAAATAATCATCGTTGTATGTTAGGATTTAAATTTATGGCAATCATAGTAGAGTATTCGATGGAAAATCGGTTTTCAGTTTTAGTTATGTTCCCAGGTTCGACAGGGCTGTGGATAAATAATAATTGATTTTTTTTTATTTTATGTTTTTCAGCTTCGCTACCAGGAACGGCCACTGCTCACAAGTTGGTGGTTGCTATCCGCCAGAAATGCACACCGGAGGATGTGCTGAACGAACTGAAGGATTTGCCCAATCCGAGGGAGACTTCCGAGAACGATATGGTCGAGTCGACCTTCAATCCACTCAAGATCGATGTTTTCGTGCAGACGCTGCTGAATCTGGGATCGAAGAGTTTTTCCCACACGTTCGCAGCCATCTCCAAGTTCCATCTCGTGTTCAAGGTTAGTTACGTTTTTGTTTTGTTTTCTATAGACATGAATCTTTCACCTTGTGTCGGTAGCGTAGTTGGGGTTTGTTGGTTCGCCAACAAAAGTATTTTTTTCTCATTTGGTCGACACTTCGAGTGAAAGTTTAATGTACCTACTTAGCCTTAAAGACTGAATAGCTTCTAAGGTGGGGTTTAAAGTACAGATACAGGAGCAAGGTTGCTTCGACTCATCCAGTGCCGTATTAACGGTAGGGCGATGGTGGGCTAAAGCCAGGACCCCCAATTTGAAGGATGCCCCGACTCAAAGACATCATATCGTTCTCAATAATATGTTTTAAGAAATTATTATTATTATTATTTAACTTTATTAATGAGGCTTTCAGCCTTGGGCTGGTTCGCCTCCAATTTAAGAAATTAATCGTTGGTTAGGCTTGTATCGAACATTTGTATTTGTATTTGTATTTATTTAGTGATACGTTAGCCTGTAGTTGACACTTTTTTACCAGGTCAAGGAAGATTACATTTTTTGAAAGAAACTCACTATACGGAAAACTAAAAAAAAAGCTACGAATCGTGACAAATGTAATTGAAATTGAAGTTAATGTAGTGCTATAACCTATGTTTGAACGCCAATGCTATACCTATGTTAACCTCTACCAGGTGTGTTAAGACATCGCTTCAATAGGACTAAAGTTGGTTGTTGTTTGGTTGCAAGTGGCAAATCGTTCCAGGTGAGCGTCCCTGACACTAGCACACTCCTTCGAGCCGATGTGGTGTGTCTAGGAACGATGAAGCAGCGAGATCGGTCGTGCAATCCGCGTTGCAGGTATTGTTGCAGATAATCCGGAAGTGCCTCAAGATACCCCTGTCTTATGAAGCAACATATTCGATTGTGGTAGTTCTTTGAGAGATCGTGCCCTAAAATGGTATTACGTACAGCAGCAGTGCTTTTTCGATGTCTAATGTTGTACACGAAGCGTACCGAGGCCTTGAAGCATCGGTTTAATTGTTCTTTGAAGGCTACAGAGAGTCCATTATAGTAGACCACATCGCAGTACGTAAAGAACGGTATGATAACTGACTGCACCAGCTTCTTGCGTGTTTGTGTAGATAGTACCGGGGCGAATCGCCTGAATGTTCTTAACGTTCCAAACACTTTTGATGTCATTAAAGCTTTGAAATCATAAAACAATAAATCATACAAGTTGATAATTGTAATTGTAATTGTAATTGTTCAGTGTATAGGCTGTGCCAACCGCTAAGTTGGCTTATCTAGGGACTAACCCCCTAGTCTATACACCTACTGTCCTTCCCGTTGCACTCGTCAGCTCGTGCGATACTCTAGACACACATGGGTGGTCGTATCCGGGTCCTCCCCTGGGTAGGCTCGTGTCCGTCCAGGTTCTGGTACATTAACTTATATCTATGCATGGTAATTATACTTTACAACTCACCTTTTGATTATAAATGTCGATAATGCTGAAACTATATGAATGTTAGTGATCATTATTAGGTGTGTGCTGCAATGGAGTAGTAATTGAAGGAAATGATATTCTCATGTGGCTTATAGGTAATTCTAAAATAGGTAAATCATGCAAGCACACACCTTTTACAATTCTTATCCTACTTACCAGTTCCATCCAGTATAAATTGGCTGTTTCCAAATGCCCTAATCCTTTCTGAATGCTTACTCTCTTACGTTTTCTCGCTTTTTCCTTCTTCCTATTGAAATTCTGGCCGTGTTCCCATTTGTTCTCAGGTAGGTAATATTGGTACATGAGGTGAAGAAAGAAATAGAACAAGTTAAGTGTGAGTTGCATGCGTTGGTTAGACGTTTGGGTCATGGTGTTGTGTTCCCTATTTTATTTGCCTCTATTCAGCTCTCAGATCGCCCCCTCCCCCCAAACTATTGTGGATGAGAAAAAGAACCCATATTTGGTAACCTCTCGCGAGCTGCAATGCATAAGATATGAATAACAAACAAATCTAGAACGGGGCTTACATATAACATTTTCTAAGACTGAACATGATTAGTATAGTATGAATAATGAGAATTGTACGAAGAAAAGACGATCCCAAAAGAAAGTTCCCTAGCAATAAAACTATTACTCTGTGCTAATATAAGTTATTTCAAAATGGGCATCCATACTCAGAAACTATACCCGACCTCAACAAACTGTATCGAAATCAGAACAGCTAAACTACTCGGTAAGATTTTGGCATTTCTATTTAATTGTATTAAGCTATCTCACAGAGACCAGACGTCCAAGTTCGGTCAGAAACTTGTGTAAAGTTAAGTGGAAACGTTGCCGTTACGTAGCGCTAGCATCTATTGATGTCCTCTATAAATTTATCACTTTCGACCAATTTGGCGCCAATTTAGCACTTAGTGTCTAGTGTAAGTTTTGCAACGCCAGCGCCATCAAGATGTCAAAGAGAATTTTTAAATGGGGAAGTCGTCGTTAGTGGCGCTTAAGTCGGATAGGAATCTTTACACAAGTATTTAGAGACATTTTGGAGCCTCAACGTCTGTTCTCTGTGGCTATCTTATATCGAGCTCTTTTCTATAATTGCAACATGTGAATAATTCAGAACAAGTTTAAAATTGTTCTAGAGCCAAATTGGTTTTGAAGGAAGGTCAAACTACAAAGGAACAGCTCAGCCACTCTGAACCCTATGCAAATTATGCTTTCCCAATATGGTACATTCTCTCACTATAAACCTGTCATTAGCCTATCTGAACTATTTAATAAATGGAAACCGTAACATGGGTTACGCTCCTCCTAAGCGGGCCCTCCGCATCCTATCTCTGTCTTATCTCAAATGCCAATGTAAATTGAATGTATCAATATATACATTGGAAATGACGTTCAATCAAATAAACCCATACCCCATTCACTTGGCCAGGCTTCAGAATCGTCCAGTGGGCAGTGCGCTCTACACTCCAAGTTCCCTTTCTTTCAAATTTACCCCATATTTTATATTTCCCCTTTGAGTGTTGATTAATCACAATGAAACATTGTGACAGAGCACGGACTTGAGGTTACTAAAGTATTAAATAATCTAGGTCCTATTTAGGATTATATCTGAAAAATCCAAATTTGGCCAACGCCCACCAACAATAAATCATACAAGTTGATAACATGCAAAAAAAAAAATGAAAATTCTGGGCAGTTGGGCTCGTAGCATGGCCAAAATCTCTAGAGCCGTGGGAATATTTTCTACAGTTCTGTTTTTCTACAGTTACCAAAAATGCACTAGATTTTATCTTTTAATTAGAGCGTCCTGGGGAGAGGGTTTCTTGGGTTAAGTTGTGCATTTCTTAATATTAAGAAATGCTACCCAAGACATCTGAGACCTATGATTTATAAAAAGCAGGCCTACATAAAATACCGCATTAAAAGCGTTTTCACAATTTTTTTTAAACGGGCGTGTATGTTTTCACGTATGACGAATTTCATCCCAAATCGTCGAACTTGTTGGCATTACTCTCTCAGATTCCAATGAAACATTGTAGGTGTAGACTTCGTATACTTAATCATCTTTGCATACCGTAAAACGGGGTAACATTGATAGTTTTTTAAAGTATATTCTAAATATTTTTTACAGCAATGACTGTTTTTCAAATTTTATATTTTTATAACAAGTACTGAGGATCCAAGAGTTAATTCGTTAGTAATATGTTGGAACAAAAATTCAAAGCATTTGCACATTTTTTTTTGTTTTGTGACCGATGAATGTAGAAAAAAATGAGTGAAACTCAAACAATTTAGTTCTTTAAATATGAAACTTTGAATGAATATATAATCAGGAAACTTCATAAGCAAAAATAATATAACATTGAATTTGTGATAGCTGTATCGGAAATACATTTCATAAGTGATGGTTTGAGTGCTTTTTCAAAAAGGCGAAAAACACGAAAATGGTTTATTAATATTTTTGTAAAATATGTAACACATACTATTTCAAAACTATATAACATATCAACGCAGCTAAGCTACAATATGGAACACAATGGTTCTTATTTGGAAAAAGCACAGCGAGTAAATTTATTCCTTATATTATACTATCAAAGTTACCCGCATTATCAAAGATACCCCGTTTTACGGTACAGTCGTGCCTGTCGGTGCCTGTGGGGTATTTCTGAGGCATAAAATCTCTGATCACGACGCCTTCCTTCGGAAGGGAAGTAAAGTCGTTGGTCCCCGGTCCATGAGTTGATGGGTCAATAGGGTAGGGTCCAGGTGTTGGAGCTGGCTCCCTGGCGTCGGTAGCACTGGTATTCAGTACGGAAAACAAGATCGACGGAAAATAAATGAAGGAAAAAAAAGTAAATCAACTTTTTAGTACAACCGCTGCATTTATTTAATATTACCGATGAGTTTTCTAGCGGTGTATCATAGCCTAGTTAGTAAAGGCACGATATTACCAAGCCAGAGGCGGTGGGTTCGAATCTTTCGGGTTGAAAATTTTTTCGACTTCCCTGGGCATACAGTACTATTGTGCTTGCCACACAATATACAAATTCATGCATTGGTTAGTGTTAGTTTGTGATGTCCGTGCGAGAGAATATAGATTCATCCCATCCGTTCGCGATTCTGATTAGTAGGCGACATATTCATATTTTATTTGTTAAATTTCTTAATTGTTCAATTGTTCTATTTTCACTATTTGTACTATACAAACATTAAAAAACTACAAGGGACAGCCCTATGGGGTTGTACGCAATGGTGACGTAGGACTACGTGGTCTTATATGAAAAATGTTATTTGTTAACTGCAGAAGGAGATTTTTAACAAATTTATGGTGGTCCAGAAAAGGACCGTTTTGTCGTGATGATTGAGTAATGCTGAGCTACTATTAGGGTGTTCAACACTGATGAAGCTGACGAGCTGTATGTTGTTTGGAACGAGGTTGACGCACTTGGTATAGATGGCCCACAGCGGCTCACGACGCGCAACTGAATCCGATCAGTAGCGGTGCGGCGTCTTCCTCTTTCTTCGGTGATAATTT